GGACATGATGAATTCATGGTTGATAATGGTAGCAATGTTGTTAATTTGGAATTGATGATAAATTATGTATAACATCACTTAAGTCTTTTTGGAGCAAAATATTAGAGATAAATTAGAATATTAATTATATAGTAAAAAATGAAATATCAAGAAGTTTGTGATTGGTTTGAAAAAGCATGAAGCTTCTTATTGTAGAAATCTTTATTGTTTATGTATGTTTAGTTGGATTTTATCTTCTCTTTTGGACCTACCTCATTTTAAACTTATATAATTCAATATAAAATCAATAGAATGATTTAAAAACTTTTAAAATAGTTTACTTATCTTAATTCTTCTTTATAATCTAAATTTCAAAGTAATTAATGAATTAAATCATTTATAACAAGTAAATCATCTAAGCTAATTTTTTTGTCACTACCTTTTGTTTACAATCTTATCTTGATTAATTTTTTATACATGTCTCTTAAATCAAATATCAAAATACCTTAGAATTTAGTAAATGGATTTTTGAATTAATAATATAAGTATATTCTATATTCTATATTCTATAATAATAGCTCTTATAAACATCTAGCTATGACTCTTCAAAATTGTTACTCTTGACTTGCAATCTTACTACACCTCTCTTGCTTTATTACTTTGTTTTTACTTGACTTCATTAGTTTTTTTCTTCAAACTTTGTATACATGTGGATATACTTATTTTAAACAATATTTCAAATCTTTTTCAAATCAAAGACTCCAATTAATCACTATAGATTTTTTTTTAAGACTCAAAATTTGCTATGTTTATTAACCAATATCAAAGATACAATAACCATCCAAAAACAATACATTACGCTTCTTCTCTTTTTTCTTAAGTCTCTTTTTCTCTCCACTATATGTAATCTTTCATATACTTATCCTTCTTTAAAAAGTCACGAAAAAAATTCTAAAATAAGAAACCACCACTTGTGGTGTGTCTTTTCTTTTATTCAAAAGTCACTAAGAAGACTCTAAGATGAGAATCTACCAGTTGTGATCTATGTTCTCTTTACTCTCATCTTTTAATCTTCTCAACTATCAATCTTATTGCTAGTCTTCTACTAACAAACAAATAAATACATAAATTAAAATAAGTATATGAATTAAAATAAAAAAATTATTAACAATAATCTAATTATATACTTAAGGTAGGCATAATGTATATGAATTCCTACCATTTAATTATTAAACAATCCATATCACAATATTATGAAATATTGTCCTTTCAAAGAAGTATACAACTTTTGAAATAATAACTCTTATTGTTGTCAAATCATAACAACAACATCCTTTAATATTTTCATCAAAACTACAATAGAGATGCTTACATGTATGTGTATCAAGTTTGCTTTTTTAAAAGGCTTGTATTTGCAATGTAGTCAAAATATCTTAAGATCCAAAGATATGATATGTCTAATCTAACTATATGAAAAAATCTCTTTATAGATCTTATTAGGGGATGTACAAATGGATCAAAAGTTTATTAAAATAGGAATTATTTAACAAACTCAATCCATTGATATGTAAGAATTTCAAGAAAATACTTGATTATATTGAAATTAGTACAATTATAGCATTCAACAATGCTATTGTACTATAGTATTTGAGATTGAATATAATAATAATAGATTTTATTATTAGAATAGTACTTGTATAATTTAATGGATAAATTTTTTTACTATTATTAGATAATAGAGTAATGAGATGTTATCATATCTACTTTTTATATTTTTTATGAAAATTTTAGAATTTTTTGAAGTACTTGTCTTTGTGCACCAAAAAATATATTGAATATTTTTTTAAGAAGTCATTGATATTAGTTAGAAAGTGTTTTGATTTTCTAATTAATGTGATATAGAAAGATTTGGCAACATCTATGTGAATCAATTGAAAAATGATTTCAATAGTTTTGGCTTATGAAATATTTTTTTTACTTTATTTTTAAAAAAAATAGATCTCATAGGGCTTTTATTCATAATATGTTTTGATAATCCATTGATGGCTCTTATTGTTATTATTCTTTTGATCCTTTGATAATTAAAATATTTGAGCTTTTTCTACCATATCATGGTTTATAAAAGTTGTTTAATTGAACAACTAAAAACTTCAATACTATATCCAAATACAAGCTTTATTGTATATGATAGTATATAGAAATCACTATGTATAATTTCTCCTAACAGTCTATATAAGTTGTTGTCTTTGTCTTATATTTCAAATACCAATAAATTACTATTCTAATCACTAATTTAACATTCATCAATAAAAAATTAAATTATAAATTTTTTATTTATAAAATAAAAAAAAAACAAATAGCATATTCTTTCAAATACCAAAGAAGTAAAGTACATAATTGATACTTTGTATTTTACCATTAGAAAGGTGATTTGCCATATTTTCTACACGAATTATATTATATACTTGCTAATTGGCTAAAGTTACTTGAATATCAAAAATTAAGAGTAAGAGATGATAAAATTGAAATATCATGTATTATGTAATTAAAAGCATTGGAATCAAGGTGCCATAGTGAAAATAATATTTTTGAATCTACATCTTTTATTTTTGCTACATACACTTTTACAATTGGAAAAGCTAATGTTTCTTCCTTGGCTTATTAATCCTTAGGTACTTTGCAGCTATTAGGTTTGTTATCATTTGGTTTAATATCAATATTATAGATGTGTATATTGGAACAAGCTTGTGTTGTATAATCACTTTTTTGGAGCATAGATTTCATCTCTTGTAGGCATTCAAGGAATGATTTAAAATTTCCTTCTAAAGAGTTGTTCTTCTTTCTAAAATCTCTTAATAATATCAAATGAAGGTGGTATTGAAATCAATCAATATCATGATGAAATTAGAAACAATTTAGATGTTGATTATATAGACAATATCTTCCATATTATGATCTATTTTTGCCTTTTCAATAAGATGATCATAGATTATAATTTCACTATCTATCAAAGCTTGGATTTTGATAATAAGGCTTTTGGTAGTTTGTTCTACTTTTTTGATTTGAATTTCTCCTATTGAAGGGCCTTCTTGAATTATCTTGAAGTTTAAGCATGGCTTCGTTATTCCAAAAATTATTTTTAAACTTGTGGTTTAGATGCTCTTCTAATAATTTATCCTCAAGTTCTAAGTATATAGTTAGTTATTTCTCTTTGTACATCACTTGACATATTATGTCATGTTTCTTAGAAAGATTTTTCAAAGTGTATCAAACAATAATTGGTTTGGACATTTTGCAATCTACTTCATCTAACAAATATGTTGTTTTTTTATGATATCTAGTAAGTGTATGGTTTGACATATTATTTGAGTAGCTTGGCATTCTTCATGCTATTATTGAAGGTACTTTGTACTTACTCTTTCTTTAAAATCTTTGAATTAAGTGCCACATGAGTGTCCAACAATATAATATAATAGCTATAAAAATTATTCCAAATTAGTACATTCTTCATCTTTAAAGCTCATATATCATAGTTTTTGATACTCATGAGGTGATATGCCTTTAGAATGGTTGGGTAATAATTACTAGCTATTAATATAAAACTAATAGTTATTTGTGTCAAATGAGTGGTATTTATATTAAAAGATTGTATGCCCTCAAAAGCCTCTTTAGCTATGTATTTGAATTTACTTATTTCTAAGTCAAGGGAAGACATACTGAGTAAGAGATAGTGTTACAACTACAAAAAAAAGATGAGGTTTTATAATTGCTTTGATATCATGTCAATTACTAGAAGAAGATATTATACATAAAAAAAAACTAAGTTTAATTAGTTTGATGAAATAAGCAACATTAAGTAATTTAGAACATGTATCAAAGATCTATTTTTGAACAAATACTAAATAAAAATAAAAAACTTAGAGGATGCAAACATAATTGCCCACATTAATATCATATACAACCCTACTTCTTTGCATTTAGAAGAAAAAATTTGGTTTTGAGATTTTAAATATATATATATATATATATATATATATATATATATTATCATATGAAAATATAAAAATATATATTTATTTTTAAAAAATTAAAATGTCAATTCTTTCTACTTATTTTATTAGGATAATGCTCATATTTTGTACGACAATCACCAAATATATTATATATATATATATATAAAAACTAATTAAAAAAATATATATGATACCTCTTAATAATTTATGTAATTCATTTTAATACCAAAAAAGACTTTAAAAATCATACAAATTTTATTTTTATATTTTTAAGTATTTTTTCATTAATATTTTTTGATCAAATTACAACTAATTTCAAAAAAATTAAAATAATGAACATTTCACAATGGCTATCTAAGAAAAGAAGAATAATGTTTTAGAAACTCTGTGAAGTCTCCAGAATTTGTGATGTGTTTAATTGTAATATCGCTAGGAGAACATTCAAGTCTATATTCTGGAAGAAACTATTAGTGTCATTTTCTTCTTTTTTGAAGATTTTTTAAGTTCCTTTTATTAAGACGTCCCACTTTATCTACAACTAAAGAAGAATCATTTTCTTGCACAACTCCAGAATGAAGCATACATCCCTACAAGTAGTCGGCATCCAATCTTTGACTTGACCAGTTGCATCCAACAAAAAACAAAATGCGCTCATGCTTTTGCACATTCATTCTAGAAAACTTTGACCTAACACTACAACGTCCAAATTCTACAGTCACGACTAGTTTCTCGAAGGAATATTTGAGAAAAAACGAAATCATTATAATTCAAAATACGAACATGAGACAGATGAAGGTCAATACACAAAAGACGTGTATGATCACAACTTTAATTTTTGAACCCCTGGCTTTGTTGCTTTTTCTTTTCTTAGTGTATGTTGCGTGTGAATTTACAAGATTATAATTAGTAGATGCATGAACAAAAGTCAGTAAAAACATTCATGAATATGGTAATACAAATGTATAAGAGAGTGTGATAATGTGATGCTGCTTGTGGCTTGATCCCCGACTGGCAAAGCATCAACCTCGGCGAGAGATGGAGCACCATCAGGCAAGCGGACGTGAGACTTCGACATAGAAATCGTTGCACAAGTTTGACCGCCTCTAGTGAAGGATCAATGCGATGTGAGATCTTGTATTAGGATGGAAGTGCCGCAGCAAACTTAGTCTCTTTTCACGACCAGTTTCGAAAGGAGGAATGTGAAGCATCACAAAGAGATGCTGCAACACAGACGTACAGACTAATTGAGCAGATCCTGGGGGCACCTCATATAATCCTCGTCATAAATGCCTGCTGCCCACTTCATTCTCCTCCAGGTGCTCACCAGAACAAAGCTTTGACCTCTGGAGGAATGCACATTCAAGTCTACTAAGCTCGTTGCAGGAGCTGCAGCTACCAATACGTTGCAGAAGTTCATTGAGAGAAAATACTCGCATGTAGATTTTCGCAGTGGATCTGTAATACGAAGTGGTGCTTGTAAACAATCGAGTGTTTGCGACGAACTTCTGATATACCCGTAGCTCTTGAGAGTGCGAAGCCTGCTGATGCATCACGACTTTCTGCATGGGCTCATGTAGCAACAATTGCGAGCGCAATTGCGCTGACAAGGGTGAAGAGCTTGAGGCTGGCGTCTGTCCCGTGGACGGTGTCCCTGACCACAACCGTCATGGGTCGTTCTTGAAGAAGGCGATATGGCATGGGGGATCGATCTATGACGCCTGGCTTAATGTTGTCTCCGCTCAGGTCCGATCACAACCCAATCTTAACTCCTTCAACGGCGTAGCCTTATTTTAGTTATGGGACGACTTCAGTTTAAGCAACGGAAGGAGTAGGTGAGGTTTGCAATAGAGATCCAACTGCTTCAGAAATTGCTTGAAGTAATGGAAACTATATTCTTTACAACCCAATCTTAACTCCTTCAACGGCGTAGCCTTATTTTAGTTATGGGACGACTTCAGTTTAAGCAACGGAAGGAGTAGGTGAGGTTTGCAATAGAGATCCAACTGCTTCAGAAATTGCTTGAAGTAATGGAAACTATATTCTTTAGCAGTTATAGGACTGCACTGCTTTGGAAATTTTGAACCCCTGAACCTAATGTTTTGGTGGAGGTGCTTTGAAAATCTGTTGATTGACACAGGTAGGGCAAGTTATTCTGTCGTTGCCCACATCCTACACTCAAATGGGCTACAAGCTTGGGCTGTTCTTTCATTTCTTCCACGTTGCGATTGGAATGTACACATGTTACGTGCTATCGCGCTTGTACGTGGAGTACCGAGATTGGAAGGAGGAGGGTGAGGATTTCAAGAAGCATGTCATTCAGGTCACAAACCTGCAGTCTTCCATCAGCTCCGTAATTCTTGATTTCCTAGCCAGAGATCTTCTCATGAAATGGGTCCGTTGTGCCCATCTGTGTGAGCACCCTAAGATTGTCAGCATGATCTCCTCGTGTCGATTGATAAAGTACGATGTGATGTTGAAGTGAATCTCCAAGAATACGGAGACATGACGAATTGTTAAAGAGAAAATGCAGCTTGGGAGGTCCTTCTAGTGTTCCAATAAGAGTGTCCATTGAACAACACTTAGTGTTCGCAAGCGAATCAAGCCTATGTTGAACTTCTTTTGTCGTGATGGTTGTTTGCGGTAATGAATCGATTTTCATTGGTCTTGCTGAACTCGTAGAAGTCTGAGGTTGATCTTTTGTCCAGTGCTTGTTCATGTGAAATAAATTAATTTTTCTTGACTGACACAGTGAAGCATACTACTTGAATCCCCATTTGACCAAGCGAACTTGGGTGCTGATTTTTGAAGCTGCTTCTCTCGGTATAAACCTACTGCCATCAATTCACAATTTCCGTGTTTTTTCGATTACTGGTGTTTTGACAACCACACACACTTCATGGTTTTTGTTAATCGCTGCTAAAAGCAGAGGCCAGGTACTTAAACTATATCAGACAGATTCTTTACTGTTGCCTTCAGACTACTGAAACTTAAGAACCCTTGAGAGACTTCAAAAAAAAGTGTTTTTAAAGTGGATCGGTGACACTTCACATTGTTATGCTGAAAGCTTCGCACCGGTGATGAAGTTACGAACTAATCAAATCTTTATCCATTCCATGTTCGCTTTTTTCTAGTCTCCCGGGGTGAAGCATTCAGCTCCCATAGATTTGAAATCGTTCTTCACGGGCACTACCAACATACTCTTCGGTTCTGGAGGCCACGCAGCTAACATGTAAGTCTTCATAAAACCATTCACAAAGTTCTTTGAATAAAAGTTTTATATCGCAATGACAAAAATCTCCTACTTGACTGTGTACTGAAAAAATTCAGCCAGAAATTGAATACGAAGTCATGCATCTTTGTTGTGAAGAACGTAGCAGCTGCCGGCTGAACACATAAGTGTGCTCTAACATTGACCCCTCAGCATTGGTTGCGCAATAGAATATTATTATAATATATCTGTTCAGGATGTGGGGAAATTCAATCCATAGAGTTCTTATGCTCCAATACTATTACAATATACAACTATCATCATTATTCTAAGAAAATAAATATATTAATATAATTTAATATTTTGATATTTGAATTTCTTAACTATTGATTATAATAGTGGAAATAATACTTTCTAATGCAACAACAATTGCTTCATACCTTAACAACTTTTTTGATACATTCATCTAATGATGCTTTTGATTTCGAAAATCCTTATAACAATTTATGATGGATTATAACAAATTTTAATATATATATATATATATATATATATATATATATATATCAATTAGTGAATTAAGATTAATGAATTAAGATTGGTGAATTAATAATATTGTTTTAGTTTTAAAATGAATTATTTTTATATTACAGCAAAACAATTATACTCTATGTTCTAATCCCTTATTTTAAGTAGAAACTTCTATTGATATTTTTAAAAATATATATATATATATATATATATATTTTTATTATTCAACTTAAAAAAAAATTTGAATTTTTATATTTAAAAATACTATTTAAAAATAATCCTAAGGTTTTTATTGAAAATGCCTCAACATAATGTTAATATTTTATTTAATTTTTTCAATTCATTTTTTGATAAGTTTATAAAATATCTAATTTTTTTTATTGTAATAAGCTATTTTTTTTTAAATCTATTATAAAATTAGATCTAACAGAAAAAAATAATTTTTCTTATTAAAAAAAAATAATTTTTTTCTTTGGCTAAGAGAGTTATTCTAATAATTTTAATTTCTATATTTTTCTATATTTAGTATAAACTTGAGAGCAACCTCATTAAACTTGATACTTAAAATCTTACTTCGAATATTTATTATTCTTATGCAAAAATAATTAAATTTTTTTTATTTTTTATATTTTATTCAAAATATATAGTAAATTTTATGATAAAACATAATCTTATCATTATACCATAAAGAAATATGTAAAGAATTTTAGAATTTTATAATTTTAAAATAAATATTTTATGTCTATACTAAATTTCATTTACTATTCTAAATTTAAAAAGCCATTGGCTTGAAGAAAAAAAAAAATGCATTTAAACAGGCTATTGTGATTAGTTATAAATAGTGAAGTTTTAAAGACACTTATTTCCAATTTTGAAGGTTTTACAAATAATTAGAAGCTTGTATTTTAGATAATATGTATAAAATTATGTCAAGTTTGAAAAAAAAAAAAGAAAAAAAGGAAAAAAAAAAATTACTACATTCAAAATAGTTCTCAAAAATATTAATAAAATCTTATATAAATTATTTTATAAAATTTAATAATAAAATTATAACTATTTGATATTTGAAACTATATATAACTAAGATATTTTTAAAAAATTCACTTATATAATTTCAAACTAATTTTTTAAAACTAATTTCTTAACAAATTATTTTATTAAAACTAATTTTTTAAACTAATATTCTAATAATTTTAATTTCTTAAAAAATATATTTTTTAATGAAATATTGATATATTATGTGATAATACACATCATGATATTATCAAGTTTAAAGCATTAAAAAAATACAAAATCAAATATAGCAATAAAGTTTTTGTAGATATTTATACTTTATAATAAGTTGTTTAGAAGATTCAATAGTGTGGTTTATTTTGGATTAAAAAATAATGAAATACAACTAATTTTTATAATATTTATAAAAAAAATCAAATTAATTATTTAGATCTTTATCTACAACTAGTCTATAAAAATTATGCTAAAATATAAACTTGTATTTGAATAAAGATATAAACATAGTTAAGTATCTATTTAGGATAATGTTCTAAAAACCACCATAGTATTTACAAACTACAATAGAACCTTTCTAAACTAATATTATATAAACTAATTACTTTTACAAGCTAATATTTATTATTATTATTATTATTATTATTATTATCTATATTAAGCCCACACTCAATTTAATAATCATCTTTAACTTAACATCTAATAAATTAATTTGGTCTCATAATTTTTCTAAATCTATATATATAAAAAAAATATACAAGATATAAAATAAAAATAACACCAAAAAACCTATCTTAATTTATTAGAAGAAATCCTTCATTTTTTTTAAACCACCTAATGGCTTCTAAGGATGTTAACCTTATCATGTATATACTCCAACAATGAAATAGACTTGGTGTTTTCATTATCCTACACCAGCCAAAAACTCTCCAATTACTTTATCATCTTATTGTCTTCCTTAGTTGTCATTGGGGCCACTTCTTAATTGTCATCATCTTTGTCTTCTTCACTATTGTTTTCTTTAGAAAGGTGGTCTTTAATTATATCTTTAAAGGTTGAGACATATGTAATAATATCTTCTCTTTAATAATTTGACAAGTTGATGATGTCTATTAGATTGTCATATCAAAATCTAGTGATTTGAGATTCAATCATTGCAATGGATTTTAAGTCTAATAGATAATAATTACTTATCTAATTCTAATATGCACATGTATTAATGACAAAAGAAGTTGGAAATAATCTTCAAATTTATATTTTTCTTCCAAGTGAAAATATCTATCTAAATAATTTTTAATATAATCTTCTTTGACTTTTCAATGATCTCCATAAGATGTTATAAAGGTAGATAATTGAACCACCTATAGTAGTATGCTTTAAAATTATGGATAATATTATCATTACATAGTTGGATTTTTAACATCTTATTAAAAAGAAGATAAAAGATATTTCTGTTTTTTAATTGTATGTGCTAGAAGAGTTTATTGAGAGGTGTATGTGCATTTTAGTTATTAAGAATTAAAAGAACTTTGTGTGGTTAGTGACATAAATATCAAATGCTTTCATCTATTTTACACATATATTCTATATCATCCAAATTTTTATATTCCTTTAATATTTGTAACTAAGATTGACAATGTTGATGTTTTTGACGCACCATGGATTCTTATAATTTTTGATGATCTATAGTGGAAGTTGTTGCTATTGCAACAATTGGTCATTGTAAGATGCTTCTTAATCCATTTATGTTCTTTCAATTACTTTAAGATAAAGAAGTCATTTGCATAAAATAGATGGTGTTTGACATTAGCAAAGTAAAATATATAAAATTAAAGAAAAAATCACATACATAAAATAAATAAGAAGTGCAAAAATTATATTTCATAAATAAAATAAAATAAAATAAAAACTAATTTTATCTATGTTATAAATATTGTTATGAGAAAACTTGTCCAAGAATTGGAAAATTCCAAAAAGAGCAAAGATGATTGCTTTCCTATCTACAAAGCCACTTTCTAAAGTAAAAAAAAAAACAAAAACAAAAACAAATAAACAAACAAAAAAAAAACAAATGCAATGGTAGAGCTTGAACAATTTGAGCCATATATTAGAGAATTTAAACTATGGATGACCAAGATAAAAGAGATCTAAGAAATTATTCACATTATTTTTGTTAAAACCTTTATTGATCAAATCATACTCTTGTTTTATTGGAAATCATTCCACAAGAGTGCATTCTATTTCTCAATACTTGACAATCTGCTATTGTTTGTAAGTGAGGTTGATGTCATCTAGTTCCAACATTTCAACCAAATGCTTTATGATTGTTGAGATTGTTTTACTCAACCATGTTTTACTCAACCAAGTTATTACATCATCTAATGTCACATAAGCACACTCAAAAGAAGAAAAAAACCAAATAACAAAACCTAACAAGTTATTACATCATCTAATGTCACATAAGCACACTCAAAAGAAGAAAAAAACCAAATAACAAAACCTAACAAGTTATTACATCATCTAATGTCACATAAGCACACTCAAAAGAAGAAAAAAACCAAATAACAAAACCTGACAAGTTATTACATCATCTAATGTCACATAAGCACACTCAAAAGAAGAAAAAAACCAAATAACAAAACCTAACAAGTTATTACATCATCTAATGTCACATAAGCACACTCAAAAGAAGAAAAAAACCAAATAACAAAACCTAACAAGTTATTACATCATCTAATGTCACATAAGCACACTCAAAAGAAGAAAAAAACCAAATAACAAAACCTAACACAACTTAAAAGACAAGAGTTCACCACTTAAAAAGCCACTTAACAATTTTTACCACCACCTTTGTTGACTCATGAGGAACCCTCTGATGGCATCATCGAGAGAGTCTGTGATTTAACTCAGCGGGGATAAGTTCAAAGACAATGGGGGTGACAGTGTACCCCTTGAAAGGGGAAGCCGGAGTTGAATCCACAACTGGAACACTGGCGCTGCGGCAGATCTAGATGTGTAAACCTTAGATGCGGAGTCCCCCGCGCTGCAGGGAAATGCTACGACAAGCACCGACGGTGCACCTCTCAGGATGGCCTTGCCAGGCTCTTACTGCAATCAACGTCTGTATCTGCAGCAAATTGAGCGCCGCGTTTTCATTCTTCACGACATTGCGTGGATTGGGGTCCATCTGCATGCGTCGGAATGGTTCCGCGATGTGTCTACTTTGGTGGTAGTCACATACACTCAGTGCCAGCAGGCTGACTGATCTTGGTTTGTCGGCTGGGTTGCACCTGGGGATTGCAGTGTGTTAGTTGAAGCTAGATCTGCCATCGGATTGCGTTTCTTTTCAAATTCAAATTTGCGTAACTCTTCGCGAAACCAGGGTTGCGGATCGCACACAACACTAGACCCACGCATCTCAATGTAATGCTGCCTCAGAGGTGACCAGCTCCTAACCTCACAGGCACCTTTGGTTGACAATTGCTGTGGTAGATGAACCCGAGGCCTGCAAGTCCGCGCCCCTAGTTCCTAGAGTTTGGCGCACTTTCTCGCGCTAAAGCACATAGAAGGGTGAGCCAGCCCTTCAGAGAACAAAACATACCGGCTCAAGGTCTCCAGACGGTTCCATTATGGGGAACACGAGCCGCAAACGTGCCAGAACTTTGCTTTCTACGACTTTGCAAGGGCTTTGACGGGTTCAATGCGGAGATGAATGTTGCTCGTAGAGTCCGAATGGCAATTGGCTGCACGAATTCTGAGAAGACCTCTCTACCTACAGCTCCGATTGATTTGTTGATGGGCTGCGCCTGTCTAAGTAAAGAAAGAACCATGCAGTGACATGTATTTAAAATATTATCTCTCTGGACAGCGGCGCATAATCATGTCAAAATTGTTACACCTCTGGTAGTTAGTTGATAATCAGTTGCATGGTGAGCTGGTTGCCAGTAATGTAAGTCTGTTCATTGCTTGCTGTTCTCTTGGTCTGTCGCAACGCAATGATGGTCACAGGTTAGGATACTGTTGCATTGGATAACAGTTCAGATTACAGGTTGGCGGAATGCGAGTGATAATTGCGTTTGCACATGAAGCGAATTAATTTATCAATTGCAGACGTTGATTAGTTGACAGTATCAAGCAGATGAAACAGCTTGCGATTGTATTGTGAGCATAATGGAAATCATCAGATCTACGAACAGACACCCTTCCGTTCAAAAAAGTTTCGCAATTTGTACAAATAGCCTCAGCTAGCAATGAGGCAAAAACTTCCACATCGCAAGACTGCCATAATCTTACAACGCCTTTGAAACCTAAACATGTGCGGCCACAATTAGGGTGACGTAACCAATCTATCTCACCCAACCATTCAGTGTCAGAGAGCTGGAACATTAAAATCTTTGCAAACACTCCGGGCCTATCCTGTGACCTTCGAATTTTATACAAATTTTACTTTACCTACCGTTACTATGAACTCCACCTAGGGTTGTACGTCCACTCTCAAATGTACAGAGAATCCTCCGTAAGCCGCCATGCTCTTCGTCTTGCTCCCTGGGCTGCTCGGCAAAATGTGCCAGAACCGCTCCTCCAAGTCATACAACCATCGCTCACCCGTGGTAACAGAAATAAAGCACAGTCCCTCAGAGTCATCAACGCTGTTATATTCACAGACCTTGAAGTGATCCAAGAACTGTTTGGAAGGACCGAGAGGGACGTCACTCAGCGTGGTCGCAACACGCAAGCCTTCCGGGTCTAGCTCCGAGATTTGAACTCTATCCGATCCTTCGTATTTGGCTTTCATCACTCTGCTGATCATCAAAATGCGGTTATGATGCTGCACTAAATGCACATTGCTAAGCATATTGGGAAGCGATACGTGGTACGATTCCCATACGCAGGTATCCATGTCGTAAGATGAGATCCCCGTCTTGCACTGCGTCGAACACACGAGCGTGTTGCCTCTGAAGACTGCTTGACTAGGACACCGGTCGTAATATGGGAAGTTGTGCCTCGATGGGACATCATCGGACTTCGTCCACACCATCCTCACGGAGTCATACGTGCGCGTCGCGAGCCTGTCGTGGTCGATGAGGATAATTTTATAGGATCGCCTGAAGTTATCCACCACCATGGCTACGAAGTGCGGCATATTATAAGCCTTGGACCCCCCCCACCTGGGCAGGATCCTCCACGTTCGAGTGGCAGGGTTGCACACACCAAGAACCACTTCCCGATGGGTGGCGGCCTGGGGCCCATTGTGTGCAACGAAACACAACAGTCCTCCGCCTACAGATGTGATGTAGAAATCCCGGATTGGGAGGCAATCCAGCGACATGTTGAACCAATTCTTCGAGACGGGGCAGTACAGGGAGCTGCTGCGGAGGTAATAAAGCTCTGGACCTTGCTGGAAGAAAGAAAACGCCGAGAATGCGGGTTCATTGTACGTGAGTACGTATGAAGAGCACTGTACCGTCAAATGACGTTGCGTCGATAAGAAGCTGGAGGTTTGCAGAAGGTAATTCCACTTTTTGCAAACAGTCCGCATGGGCAGGAGGTAGGGTAAAGGAAGGTATGAAAGAATCGTCTCCATGATGGGCTCGGGGAGCTTGCCCCACATCTCTGGGTCCATCCATTCTTCTTTTCGGCGTGTATTACTGGTAAGAGAAAGGCTTGAGAAGGCAGCGTTTAAACCTGCAAATATTTCATGTACTGAATGAGTGAAAAAAAATTCCAAATGACAATAGCCTCCATCAAATCACTGAACACGTTCGTCGATGAATCAAAGAGTGGGTGTGCACTAAATTCAGACACCCAAAACTAACCAGGCATCTTGAAGCTCGCAGCTGCCACAGAGATTGGTTTCGTTCCTTAAGTTTGCAGAGCAGATCGTCGGATATCAATGAGCGTTCGCAATCTCGAGAGAGAAAAGAAGGGATTATCTTCACGTTGCCCGGTGGGAATTCAATTTCATATACTATCTGCTTGAATCATCGAATTGACAGAGAGTGGGAGAAGAACCCTCGAAGCAGCATTCCCAGTTGGTTTCCTTTTCCGTCTTTCACCGCTCATGCGAGAAAACGGTGAGGCAACTTGACGACGAAGCTAAACAACCGAACCGAGACTGCAGAGTGTGGGGATAATGAGAGTGACAATCATAGAACCTCCGACTCACTGCGTCTAGGACGCTTCACGAAATCCAAAAACCACTCCGAATGCGACCTACTTCTCCCACACTAGTCCCAGGAGACGACAGGTCTACCTTGAACGCGTTGCGGCCAAGAAAGGAATTGCACAACAGAAGAGTGCCGCTCAGCCACGCAAGACGATCACTGCTGCAATCAGTAGAACCTACGCAACGAGCAAAATTCCTCTAAACAACTCCAGAGTCGTAAGCAACCTCTCAGCATCAACCACCAAGATGAATCCCTTCCGACCACCACGAGACTCACACACACCCACGGACGCACGACCGCACGCACACAACCAACAGCCTAGCTCAATACGAATCACTGATCAGCGTGTCTGTCAAGTTCAGAGCACAGAAGCACGCAGCAGCTAGTCGCCGCACAGACCGACAGTTTCGCACCACCACAACAAACGCCTCAAACGACAAGCTGCACAAACTCAGAAAAGCGAGATGACTACGAGCTGTAGGGTGCGAGCTGAGGAATTTGGTGGTGTGAGTGAGTTGCAGGCAGAGCAAGGAGCATATATAAGCTCTGACTGCAATCCTGCTCCTCCATCGCCATTGACCACTTCGCTGGTCTGCTCCAAATCTTGAGGGCCATGCGCTGCATCGCAGCACTTGTTCACGGGCAGTCGGTTTCTTCGTCCTTGCCCCGCCTCTGCCCTTCCCCTGCCCGGTTCTGCCCGTTGCCCGGGAAATTAGTAAACAACATTAATGTGGGGGGAATGACTCAGGTCTTTCTGGTACCAGCCTTGATCTAGTTTGTTTCCGCTCTGTCTGCTTGAATTGGTCCCCAGCTGGGCAATTCAATTCTTTCTTAAAGCTCTCACTCCTTTGATACACCTTTAATAAGTCTCAGTATACTTGTGTGTGGGTATGAAAGTGTGCTGTATGTATGTATTTATATGCGTATGTTTCTTTTTTCCAGGTGCCTTGTCTTCTTCAATACATAGTTATTTTTTTTGTGTAAAGGTGAATTGTATCTTTACCACTATGTGCAAGTCTGTTTGTGCATGTGTATTTGTTGGTAAACTTAAGCATGTATTTGTTGGCAAATGGAAAAAGTTTGTGCCTTTATTGTGCCTATGTGAACATAAACCAATAACTGCATACCTAAGTTTTTCTCTAAAATGTCAGATTTGAAGAATAAGACTATAACATTTTAAGAATTTGTTTGTGTTGATTTTAAATTAGAGAGAGTGTGCACAAGATGACATTCAAAATTTAATGTGTTACAAGAAATCATGTATGTGTATATGTATATGTATATATATATATATATAAACATACATAAAACTGTGATTGTGGCAATGTTCACAAGAAATTATAATAAATGCTTGTAATAGGAATATACAGTCTAATCATTGACTTGTATGAAGCTGTTTCGACTTTTAGGACTTTATTTTAGGACGTCTATTTTTGTAATTATAAAACTTAGATTGTTATTTGTTTTTTTGCTTGGAGAATTTTAAAATGCAATTCTAGTATATTACAAGTTGAATGCCACTTCTTTCACCATTAAATGGCAACTGCCACTCAATCCAATGTATCAACACTTTTAAAACTCAAGCATATTGTTATATTTTGAGTTTTCTAACATATGAAGAAATTTATTTTTCTAATATTTATATTTTTTTGTGAATCAATACGTTTTGTTGCTAAATTAACTATAAAATCAAAACATGAATTAAAGATATATTTGAATTAAAGACGATAGTCAGGTCCTTACTTAACAACAAATATAAATCTTGTTATTGTGTGTTAAGACAATGAAGGCTCTTTCAACAGAATAATAAGATTAAATTATCTATATGATTGAAAGGTAATTTATATTAGTCTTATCAAGATTAAAATTTTAACTTTGCTTCATATTATATATAATATGTTACTTCAATTTGGACGTGTCTTTGCTTTATAAAAAAAATTCTAGCTTTAGAGCATCTAAAATCATTAAAGTATTAAATAAAAATAGGTTTTTATATATTTATTAAAAAAAGATTTAAATGCTTAATTTGGTAAGTTAATATATTTTTAATTAAATTTTTATATATTATTTAGTTAATTTTTAAATCCGATCATTAAAACAATTTAGACGTTTTGCATAATCTGTAGAGTTTAAAATATTTTTATTCAAAACATAATGAACTTAAAAATGTGTAGATTACTTTTGTTTTACCAATTTTTTTTAAAAAATTATTAAAAAAACTACCAATTTAAAATCATATTTATATATTCTTTATTATTTTAAATTATTTTATTACATTTGACACTATTTTCTTTTACATATGTATAATTATTGACTTGCATTGTGGTGCATGGGTTGCTTGAGACTTTTCTTTGTGTTCATTTATACCATTATTCACTCACAAATATATCTTTGATTCGTAGGTTTAAGTAGGATAATCAAATATTAATATATTTCACTTTTAAAAATAACTTTGATCATGTGGTAACCTGTATTATTAAATCGATATTTTAAAATCAAATTAAATAAATGAATAAATATTATTAGAGAAATTTATATAAACTACTCAAGATTTAGTCATAATCATTATAAAAATTTGCTACCAAAGACATGTTACAATCTTGGACTTAATAATTGGTAGCAAAATAATATCATTACCTCATTTGCAAATAGTTGTAGTGATCAAAGATTTTTTTTGTGCTTATATTTTTTATAAATGTATATATATGTATATACTTATATTAAAAAAATATTTAAAATTAGATTTAAATCATTTGAATTAATTATAGAAATTTGTCTTTAAAGGTCTTGATTAAAATTTAATTTATAATAACCAAATTTGGTTTCAAATAGCTATATTTTTACAGAATATTTATTATCAAATTTGATATCAATATTCTTGTTTTATTGTTTACTTAGGTATTTATTAATAAAAAAATATTTTTTTTAATAATTTTTTTTTAAAATATTATCAAAATATCTTATATACATGTGAACTTGATTTATTTTTCTAATATTTTTAATCAGAAAAAACATTTTTTTATTAAAAATATAGAAATTAAATTAATCAATTCTATTTATTATACTTGTGGTACACTATTTTTTTCTTTGACCTTAATAAAAGGATATTATTCTTATCAAGTGTTATTAAATAAAGAATTATTATATTTTTATTGCATTTTTTAGATAAGAATAAATCTTTATATTTCAAAGTTTAAAACTAAAAAATAAATTAATTTGACAAAGAATTAATTATTTTATTATAAAATTAAGTCTAATCTATATATTACAAAGTATAATTAAAATATGTGTAATGTGTTTAATCTCAAAATCCTTGCTTTATGTGTTTTCATTTATTTATTTCCAGTCAAGTATAACAAAATTTTATAAATATTATCTTTTTACATCCTACGATTTTGATAGTGAAAATCATATTTTATTTTAGTAATATAATTAAAGATATAAAAAATTAATAAAATTATTTTTGTATTAATTTAATATCTAAATTTTAGATTTAAATGTGCATGTGTATATATAGAGTAAAAATAATTAAAATTTTATAAAATTTAAATTCCATTTAAGAAAATTAATAAAACTATAATATATATTTATTTTACAACTATATAAATTTACCAAATACTTTATAGATCTTTTGTAATTTAAACAATTATCTAGTTTGAACATTAAATATTATTTACTAATTTATTTAAAAGTTGTAACACTAATGTCATATACATGCATATATATATATATATATATATATACATATATCATAATTGCTTCATAATAAATCACTCAAATTATTGTAAAATAATATTGTATAAATATTCATATAGAAACATGAATCTTCTTCAAAAGATAAACCTTACAGATGAGCTCCACCTCTTATGCTTTTGGAACTGACAACCAACTTAAGATAACCACCGAGTAATACTAACACTAACAATAAACTAATCAAATATTACTTAAGGATAGAAGTAACAATATTGTATAAATATTCATATAGAAACATACATAAGATTACTTAAAACTAAAATTATGTTCTTTCTAATAAATCCATGTATTTTTATTATTATTATTATCGTTTAAGCTTCAATCACATGTTACAATAATTTGGTTAAAATTTAGTATCTAATTTGAATTTTTTATTCATAAAATAAAATAGATAAATTGCAAAACTTATTTTTTAATCTCATAAGAAGTTTTTTTTTTTTAATCAAGTTTTAATAATAATAATAATATAGCATCCAAACATTTATTCAAACAATATTAAAAGAATCTCCTACAATACTCAATTAGCATTGAGAAAAATACATGATAACTTTGATAATACACTCTTTGTCCTTATTTTCTTGAAAGAAACAGAAAAAAGGCTTTGAATTGATTTGAATTTAGAAGAAATAGAAGAAATTAATATAAATATAAATATAAATATATATATATATGCGCATGTGCATGTACAATTATATTCATACTTAATTTCTGTTACTTATTAATTTTTAAAATTAGTGGTATTGAGACTCTTGAGCCAAATTCATAGAAGTTTCTCTCTTTGTAGGCCTCTCTTTAATAGGCTTTTTCTACATTTGCATTGGGATTAGAGAAAAAGGCATTGCATGCCATGTACATCCATGTCAATCTGGGACCGCTGTTGGTTTAAGACTAGTCACACTGTATACAAATATAAACTCATTGAGCTTTGTCTACTACTCAGACAACAATTGACTTGTAGCTCCTTTCCAAGGTCCTTGCAAAACCAGCATGAACCACCAGACTTTGTCCTGTTCTTCAACTTTTTATTTCTTTTGTGAAAATTAACAATATTAAATAGCTACTTAACATTCCAGGTGGGAGGTGGAATGTTACAATTGTTGTATGTTCTAGAAACAATTAAAACACTTTTTATTTTTTTATTTAAAGAACATCTTTCTATGTGAGCATGAGATAGTGATGTGAATCACTGCAGTTGCGATCTCCACCATGTGGGGAGTTGCATGTGGGGCACCAATGGACCAACATGCTGAATGTGTGTGTTGCTGTCCTAGTTCCAGTTTCTCCCACCCTTCTCCAAGCTATTTACTCAGCCATTGGCCCCATTTCCTCAAAACAGGGTTGGGTTTAATACCTCACTACTAGAATCGGGTCTATTAGGGTCCCACATTTAGAACCACTAATCATGAGCCTACTGGTAATTTTCCACTTTCTTTCTTAAAAAAACCATCTGTAAAGTACCACGGCTGATTCACTCTGTCCCAGAATTAGTTAAAGTAATGTAGTCACGGTCACACACACAAAAACAATAAACCATCTAGATTGTCAGAATGATCCAACGGTGACATTAGGAACCACACTAGGGATTCGATCCTGAGCCGCGGTGATAGGGAGTAGGTGCACCCTTCTCCGGGGTCGGCAAGGGCTCAAATACCGGCGTGGGCAGCGTCGCGGGCGGTCGGGTCGCGGCACGAGAACGGCTTCGCTGTGCAGCGGCGATGGCGAAAGCACTGCCACAAGGGAGGGAGGGTTTCCAAATGGAGGCTGACTGGGTGCTGCTGATGTTATCTCCTTTTTTTTCCTTCAAAAACATTTTTAGCTGCTCAACTGCAAAGTGCTTGATTCC